CGACTTTAAATACATTGAATCATATAGTGAAAACAATGAAGGTAATACTCCCCATACTTAAACAACCTCAAAACAGATTTGGCCACGAAGGCCTTATTTTCCTCAAACTCAAAAACCTCATAAATCCTTAAATCAACTTTAAATACATTGAATCATATATTGCAAACAATGAAGACAATACTCATCCTACCTTAATTGCTGACTCTAAGTCTTTCTCCTTGATTCTTGGAAACCTCGCGAAGCTTTTGCCTCAATCCTCTTACTCGGAGCTCTAGTCTTTATTTCTTCCCTTTTTCAGTCTAATAAGAATGAATTCTAATTCCCTCAAAATCCCTTTTTGTTAAACCTAACTTTGGGCCTTTAAAATGGACTTTCCAATTTCACCCTCACTAACTCCTCCTCAAATGTCCATTTTGCCCTCAATTCACTTATATTTATTTAAACTAATAATAATACCAATATATTCATATTATATACTATTATTTAAATAAATAACTAAAAATTCATAATTCTCAATATTCACACCAACCACTGAAAATCACCAAAAATACGAATATTCATATTTAAATAAATTAAATAAATATTTCAATAAGTTTGGGTGTTACAACTTCTATTTTCTTTTCTTTTATTTAAATAATAAAATCAAATCATTATTTTAACTAATAAAATAATTACAATTTATTTTCTCTTTCTCTAATTGCTCTCTACACCCTACTATAAGATTACACACCCATCATCTCACCCGCGTTTATTTAATAATTCACACATAATAATTAAATAAACACATAAAATTAAAATAAAATAATGTTGTGAATCGGATACCGTTAAACAAAGTATAAACGGTTTCTTATCAAGAAAGACACAAGGGTTAGGGTTAATAAAGAAGAAAGCAACAAGGAACAACAAGGATTGGTTATTAAACTGCTATTCTTTCCTTTCTCTTAGAACAAGATTACAAGTATACAAGAATAACAAAATAACCTCTCTCCCTTGAAATTAGGATTTTATCTTCCTATTTTTCCTTATTTCAAGATTGAGAAACCAGTATCCTATTTATAATAAAATAGCACACTAACCTAATGGGCTTTTTAACAATTACCCTTTACAAGCTAACTTAGGATACAAGTTAACTTAAACAATTGGGCTTACAAGCAAGACCCAATTCAACATGCTAACAACCCTAGCAATATTGACTAATGCATGTTAGAACAAACTTCGACTACAACACGCATTACTTGCGAACAGACTTCGACTATATTAAAGTTCGATCTAACATCTCACAAATCTCCACCTTGGATATAACTCTATAACATCAAGAAACTAGCTTTCTTCATGCAGCTTTATTAACTGCATACAGTGGAAAAACTTACAACTGGGCAACGTCTTTTCTTTTTCCGTTAACGCAGCGTCCATGACTGTCTCACCCTTCAACGCTTCCAAACAACCCTGCTGAACCAACATGACTTTCATTTTCAAGCGCCACAGACCGAAGTCGTTCACTCCGGTGAACTTTTCAATCTCATACTTTGTTGAAGACATCTTTTCCACGCTCACTGCACCAATTTGTTATGAATCGGATACCGTTAAACAAAGTATAAACGGTTTCTTATCAAGAAAGACACGAGGGTTAGGGTTAATAAAGAAGAAAGCAATAAGGAACAACAAGGATTGGTTATTAAACTACTATTCTTTCCTTTCTCTTAGAACAAGATTACAAGTATACAAGAATAACAAAATAACCTCTCTCCCTTGAAATTAGGATTTTATCTTCCTATTTTTCCTTATTTCAAGATTGAGAAACTAGTATCCTATTTATAATAAAATAACACACTAACCTAATGAGCTTTTTAACAATTACCCATTACAAGCTAACTTAGAATACAAGCTAACTTAAACAATTGAGCTTACAAATAATTTTATTAAAATTGAAGTGTTACATTTATTATGTGGTAACTTTGGTACCTTTGGTGTATATTTGGTCATATATGAATAATTAAAAAAAATATTAAGATGTGAGAGAAAGGATGATTTATAGAGATAAAGACATAAAGATATATACCAAAGGTACCAAGCTTCAAAGCAGAAAATCCTCTTTCGACATGCTTAATGTTCTAAAATAAGTTAGCACGAAAAAAAGACACAAGTCAAATATTAGTAGGTACATACATCATACCCAACATAACAAAACATAAAAGCAAATAGAGTGACATGAGACAAGTTTTCAACTTACTATTATACTCCACTTCACTTGTATTTGTATTCAAGGATCATGTTGTTCTAAAGAGGTAATCTAACACAAGCTCTTATAATATTTTCCAACATAGCTCTCTGCTTTGACCATGCATTCACTACTGGTTCTATGAAGGTTTCAGGTTCATTATTGAAGTTGAAATGTTTAAAATTGGTAAGATGGCTGGAATTGGCCGAAGTTGAACAATTCTGATAAAATCATGTTAATTTCTTGATTTTTAAAATAGTTGGTAGCTCATATTTGATTCCAAAAATAAACGAGGTTAATATTACCGAAATTTTTGATAAAATTGATATATTTTATTGTTTTAGTGATATTTGAAAAAATTAACATAAAATCATAATTTGTGTTTCAAAAGTCTATGATTTTATACCGTTTATTTGAAATATTTAGTATAAAAAATATGAATTTGAACCTTTTTTTTCTTTTCAAATATCTAGTATAAAATTATAATTTTTTAAAAACAAAATATGATTTTACACTCATTTTTAAAAAATAGATGTAAAATCTATGCTTTTATATTAATTTTTTTCAAAAATTCAATAATTGTTCATGAATTTCCCAAAAATACATTACACACAAATTCAAAGGAAAAAAACTATAAAATAAAACATAAAACAAGAATTTCGTAAATTTTTAATATATTAATCTAAACATTCAAAAATTACAAAAATTCAAACACTTTTATTAAAAATGTTTTAATCAATTTGTATATAATGAAGAGTGGTACGTCAAAATAAAGGGTGGTAAGATAAGTTCTCAAAAAATTTGTCCTACCACCCTTTCCATTTTACTTGATCCCCCTAAAATTGTGTTTTTTTTATCATAACACTTTTGATGGTTTTTTACGCTTTTGAATAAATATTGTGTTTTTCTAGTTTTTTTTTTTACAAATTTTATGATTTTTTATTGGATTTTTAGAAAAATTCATGAGTTTTTATTTGATTTTTGAAAAAGCTAATGTAAAAACATAAATTGTACACTCAATTTTTTTCAAAAATCTATAATTTTACACATAATATTTTAAAAGTTATTGCAAATATTTTTTATACCGAATTTTTAAATATCCCATATAAAATCATAGACTTTAAAAAAAAATGATTTTAGAACAGTTTTTTTAAATTTATATAAAAACTACAAAACATATTGGATTTATTAAAAATTCAATAGTGTTAATTTTGTTTTTTATTGGTTTATTGGATATAAAGTATTATATTTTTCAAAATTTCAAAAAAGTACAAAATAGATCAAATTTATAAAAATAATTCGGTAGTGTTAACTTATTTTTTATAAGGTCGTGTTAACCAAATATAAATAGGAAGTGTCTGGTCAAATTATAAGAGTGGTAAGACAAAATCTTGAAGGATTTACTTTTTTTCACTCTTAAATATGGTACCACATTTTTGAAAATTTAAATATATTTCTTATGTATTTGGAGATGCATCCTCGATCATATTTAAAATCACATAAACAAATATGTAATAACTAAGACAATCCTATTTTATCTAAATAAATTATTAAAAAATATATATTCAGATTTCGAAGATACATTTCTAAAATATATTCTCACCCTTTAACTTTTTTATTGGCATATGTATATCAATGGTGGAAAATTTAAACAATAAAAAATATTTCATTGCAACAATATTTTTAGATTTGTTGAGCTGTATGTTAATTTTTCATTATTTGGCATGTGGCGTGCCCCTGTATATTATGTAATTATTTATCATTGTAACAAAATCTTTGGTCTTAAAACTTGTAACTTTCTAAATTTGCAATATAGATCATAGAGCTCTTTACTTCACAAACTATTTAAAATCATATTCAAAGAGGGAGGCTGTGGAACCTTCATTCCTCTTTTCTTCAATTTGATTGTTTTATCGAGATTGAAAATCAAATGTTAATTTTGGAAATATCTAACAAAGAAATTTACGGAAATATATATTCGAATTTCGAAAATATAACTCCAAACATATTTTTTAGACAAAATAAAAGTGTCTACTTATTAAGGGTTAAAATTAAGGTCGTTCACGGTTCAGTTAAGTGAAAAAATAATTAATTTAGTATACCGTTTAGAAATTTCGAACCATACCGAACCGTTACTAGACAACTTTTCTCAAATCAAATCATTTCTTAAAGAACCTAACTATTAAACTATTTTTCTCGATTATAGGTTCGGTTCGATTCTAAAACTATTTTATGCAATATAATTTTGTTTATTAATTAAATATAACAATTCAATTATTTTAACTTCAGTTAGAAAATTCAATTTAGTTCATGATTTTTTTAACAACCCTAATTAAAATGTATAAATAAAGAGAATAAATCTCCGAATTTAAAAACATTTTAAATTTTTTTGGACGGTGGGTAACAACTCTTCAAGGTGAGAAAAGTAACCCCATTCTCAAATTCTGGTCTTCTACTGAACTGCACTAGGCCCGAGAAGCCCATTGAAGTTAAACTAGAAAACTTCCAGCTGTGATATATGTCCCACTCCCTCCTCCACACAACCAATAACTATAGAGCAACATGTCACAATATTAACGACGTGGCAAATCACCATCATTTCCAATTTCCCACTTTCATTTTCATTATTATTACTTATTTTTCTTCCCTCAACAAGACCTGAATCACTGAGTCAGTGACCAAGACCATTGCAGAGAAACATCAACAACACCATAATCAAATCTCATCTCATCTCATCCATGCTAATCTTATGATAATAATACCCTAATTAATCAGCCACTAAATGGGGTTTAGATCTCGTTATTGTTTTCTTCTCTTTTTAGTTGCAATCTCTTTCTCTCTTATCGTTGCTTCCGATAATCGAAAACTCAAAAATGTCCAAACCGCCCTTCACGCTAAATGGCCCGGTACTCCTCTTCTCTTAGAAGCCAGGTACGTACGTACGTCGTCGTTTTACTAATCATGTAACTACTAATTAATCATCTAACTAATCCGATTTTTTTTTTCATTTTTGTAGCGAATTATTATCTAAACAACACCAACACTTTTTCTGGAACTTCATTGACATTTGGATTAATGCTAATCATAATCCTAATCCTGATGTTAATGACACTTACACAGCTAAAGACTGTGTTAAGAAGATTCTAGAACATGGTCGTTCACTTTTAACGGAACCGTTAGCGTCATTGTTTGAATTTTCCCTAATTTTGAGATCAGCTTCACCTACGATTGCGCTTTATCGTCAATTGGCTCGCGATTCGTTATCGTCGTTTCCGCTGATACATCACGGTCATGAACTCGTTGAAGCGAAGAACAATAACACGCAATTGGATCCTCTTGGTGTTGGTGTTAGTCTCCAGAGTCCTGGAGGGAAATGCTGCTGGATTGATACTGGTGAACATTTGTTTTTCGAAGTTTCGGAATTGCAAGCTTGGCTTCAGGGTTCTCGTGATCCTCAACAGTGAGTATTCTACTACTATCTTCTTTATCCTGATTCATGTCTTATTATGTATTGCTTATTGTTTTAGACTTGTTTGGATAAACAACTTCGATGAATGTTTGTAGCATAAGCACTTATCATATAGTGAGTGTTGAGTGAAGTTTTTATACATAAACAACTTAATTGAATGTTAATGCTGCTTCATGCATAAGCTCTTATCATATAGCAAGTGTTGAGAGTGTTTATACATAAACAACTTAATTGAATTTCAATGTTGCATATTGCATAGGCACTTACTATATAGTAAGTGTTTATATATAAGTTGTTTCTACAACAAAAGGTGAAAAAAATTAAATACAGCTTAACTGAACGTCAATGCTGTGTATTAGCATAAACACTTATCATATAGTAAATGCTTATATATAGGGCATGTTTTGATAAACAATTTAGTTGTTGCTTATAGCACAAGTGCTTATCAAAATAAGTGATTATGAATAAGTTTGCATAAGTTGTTTTTATAACAAAAGATAAAATAAATTTAAATTGTTTTTATATATCTGTTATAAGTTGTTATCACTAAGATATATTGAAGAGTTTATATAAATAAATTAAAAAAAGAGAGAAAAGGAAATACACTGTGTAAAATTATTTTACACTGTCAACCAATCAACGACATGTATTCTACCAAATCACATTTAAATTTCAGAAGTACTTTAATGATTTGGCAATTTGTTGATTTTCCATTTGATGACAGTGCATATCCATTACACTCTTAAAAAATATATGAAAAATGACATGCTTTATTTTGATAAAGCCTCTCAAACATTGTTACAAAACTTATGGCAGTAGATAAGCTCAAATAAGCCAACCCAAACATGCTCATAAACTATTTCTACAGCAAAAAGATAAAAATAAAGTTAAATTGTTTTTGTATAAATTGTAACAAGTTTTCATAGGCTATTGTGGAAAACTTATGGAAATAATCTAAAACAACTTAGAGCATGTCATAAGCAGTTTAAATAAGTTCTCTCAAACAATCTCGCAAGTGTTTACGTTAGGAGATAAGTTCAAATAAGTCGATTCGTACAAGTTTATTTCAAGATTGTTGTTGATTAATACATGTGTAATTTTGAGCTGCGTGAGTTCCAACTGAGGTTTGAACCTATTGTCATTAGGGTGGGTGATTCGTTTCAAAGTCCTCCGGTGTTTGATTTTGATCATATTCATTTTGATTCAACTGCTGGGAGTCCAGTTGCTATCCTTTATGGTGCTCTTGGGACCCATTGCTTTAAGGAGTTTCATGTTGCTCTTCTCGAGGCTGCGAAACAGGTTAATTATAATGACAATTTATCTTAACTTGTTGTCAAAAACAACTCAAGTGCTTCTTCTGATTTTTCCATGGCGAATTTGAATATTTTTACTAAAACCTCCCTTTTGAATTATCCCACAAACAATATTGTAATGATTATATGTGTTTCTCTCACAAATATTATATGCTGTCTGAATATTTAGGGAAAAGTTAAATATGTCCTGAGACCGGTGTTGCCAGCTGGATGTGAAGCACATATTGGCCACTGTGGCTCTGTTGGTCTGAGCGAGACAGTAAACTTGGGTGGTTATGGCGTGGAACTTGCTTTAAAGAATATGGAATATAAGGCCATGGATGATAGTGCAATTAAAAAAGGTTGGAGTGTGATCATCATGCTTTTTAAAATGCAAACTACTACATAAGATTTTATATTTTGTAAGTAGAAGCAATTTTGTTTTAGGTCGGCGATAATTAATGAAATTTCTTTATTCTCCTTTTCATTGTTTAACTTTGGCCAACAATTTTGAAGTGTCACTTCTAGAGAAACTATGCAGTAGTATTTCTTATAAATTTTGTTTAATATCTCTGTTTGTAATACTATCCTGAGAATTCGATTATTTCTATCATTAATCCCCCTTTCATGAAAGTTATTGTTCTCTGGCCTTTACTTTTCCTTTTCGTGTCATTTTCTCTGGTAATATGTGCTAATTCTTATTCTCTACTACTTCTGCTATGAATTTGATTTTCAAGTTTGGAAGCTATTGAATTTGGAAACAAATATCTGAAAAGAAGTGAAGTGGTCAAGATATTTTTTAATAACAAACATAGGTTACTTTGTCAAGAATTCTTGGCTTAATACTTTTCTCATTATTATTTCTCGTATATATAGAGGTTACAGGGCTATATTGGTAATTACACTAAATAATTACATTTTAATGAGAACAAGTCAATTTCTAATTTGTTTCCTTTATTCTAGAAACAAACCCTTATTCTAGGAACAAACCCTTATTCACATCCCCCCTCAAATTGATGCTGCTTGTCAATAAGCATCAATTTGCTAACAAGAAACTGATGACGTGGACGCGGAACAGCCTTGGTAAGAATATCTGCAATCTGCAACTGAGTACTGACATGAGGAAGTGATATGATTCGGTCATCATAAGCATCACGAATTGAGTGACAGTCAACTTCAATATGTTTGGTGCGTTCATGAAAAACAGGATTCGCAACAATTTGGATGGCACTTGTATTGTCAGCATAAAGCGAAGTTGGCTCTATTTGAGGAAATCCAAGTTCAGCCAAAAGACCACGAAGCCAAATTATTTCAGAACAAGCAGCAGACATGGCACGATACTCAGATTCAGTAGAAGATTTAGAGACTCTCGCTTGTTTCTTACTTTTCCATGAGATCAATGAAGAGCCAAGAAACATGCACCAACCAGTGACAGATCGTCGAGTATCAGGACACCCTGCCCAATCTGCATCACTATAAGCACTCAATTTAGGAGCAACTCCACTAGGAAAGAATAAACCACGATGAGAGCTTCCCTTCAAGTAACGAATTATACGACGAACTGCTGCCAAGTGAAGGTGGCGAGGAGAGTGCATGAATTGACTTACTTGTTGAACAGCAAACGATATGTCAGGGCGAGTAATAGTCAAGTAATTAAGGCTACCCACGAGTTGACGATACAATAAGGGATCAGGCAACAAATCACCATCATCACGATGATATTTAACATTAACCTCAAGCGGAGTATCCACTGGATTAGCCGATTGGAGACCAGCCATGGAAATTAAATCTGTGGCATACTTGTGTTGATGGAGGAATATGCCCTTGGATGTAGAATGAACCTCAAGACCAAGAAAATAATGCAAATTACCAAGATCTTTCATATGAAACGCTGCTTGTAACTGCTGTTTAAGGCTTTGAATGGAAGCATGGTCAGAACCAGTAATAATCATATCATCAACATACAGAAGAAGTAGGACAATTCCAGTAGACGTTCTATGAATAAATAGAGAAGAATCATACTGACTCTGAGTAAAGGAGAACCCAAGTAGAGTGGAGCGGAATTTTTCATACCATGCTCTAGGTGCTTGTTTCAAACCGTATAAGGAGCGTTTAAGCTTGCACACACCCTTAGATGATGAAAATAAACCTTGAGGAGGAGTCATATAAATGTCTTCCGCGAGGTCACCATGAAGAAAAGCATTTTTCACATCTAATTGATAAAGAGCCCACCCGTTAGAAGCAGCTATAGAGAGTACCGTACGAACGGATGTCATTTTAGCAACCGGTGCAAATGTCTCATCATAATCAATTCCATATTCCTGCTTGTTTCCTAAGGCAACCAAGCGAGCCTTGAAACGGTTGAGGGACCCATCCGAATTCAATTTCACAGAATACACCCATTTGCAGCCAATGGGTTTGACATCTGGAGGACAAGAGACAATATCCCATGTGAAATTCTCTTGAAGAGCTTGAAGTTCCTCATTCATTGCTTTTATCCAACGTACATCTTTAACAGCCTGTGAATAACAAGTAGGAATAGATATGCCAGAGAGGGTGGCAGTCAGAGAAGTATGTGCTGAATCATACCTGTCTGGTGAATATCTGTCTGGTGCTCGAGATATTCGAACAGAACGCCGTGGTTCAACCGTTACAGGATCAGGTGGCGGTTCAGCGTCGGGAAAGGGTGTGGGAACCTGCTGTTTGTGTTTTCTGACATATACATGACCTGGTTTATAACGCTCTATAGATTGAGGCATAATAGAGAACTTAGGAAGAGTAACAATATCATTCATGACAGGAGAAACGCATGGAAACATAAACTGATTATCAAAAAATGTCACATTCCTAGAAATGCGAAAACGATGGTTAGTGACATCATAACACACAAATCCCTTATGTGAGTGACTATACCCCATGAACGCACATTGAACAGACTGTGCTCCAAGCTTATGTCTTTCAAATGGAGGTAAGTGCACAAAACAAACACATCCAAAAATATGTAAATCATTATAACTAGGCTGAATTTTAAAAAGGCGAAAGAAGGGAGAATCAAAATCAATAACCGTAGAAGGAAGACGATTGATCAAGAATACGGCTGTGGAAAGAGCCTCAACCCAAAATCGGGATGGCACAGAAGCTTGAAGAAGTAATGTGCGTGTTACATCAAGCAAATGACGATTCTTTCGCTCTGCCATCCCGTTTTGTTGAGGGGTATTGGGACAAGACCGTTGAGACAAGATCCCTTTTTGTTGAAGGTATTCCTGAAATGCATGAGACATATACTCACCTCCCGAGTCAGATCGAAAAATTTTAACACTTGCTTGAAATTGATTTTCAACATATGTCAAAAACTTCTGAAACATAGAAAACACTTCAGACTTAGATCTAAGAAAATATATCCAAGTAAAGCGGCTGTAATCATCAATAAATGTGACAAAATATTTATAGTGAGCATGAGATGTTGCAGGAGACATTCCCCACACATCACTATGAATCATCTCAAAACAATTAGAAGCACGATGAGCGCCTGACGGAAAAGGGAGGATTTTACTTTTAGCCAATTTGCAAACAGAACATGAAATAGGAGTAGTACACGCATGTTTATTTCCCAACAAACCAGTTTTAAATAAATGAGACAAAACAACAGAATTTGGATGGCCTAATTTTCTATGCCAATCCTCATAAGAGTTCAAAACAGTATTACATGCAAAGGATAAATGACTAGAACTAAACTGGAGTGGAAACAATCTTCCCACTTTAGGCCCCTTCGCGATCACCTTTCCCGACACCTGCTCCTGCACAAGACAACCAACACGAGAAAAACTAACATTACAATTGTTATCCACCAATTGACCAACCGACAATAAGTTGGAAGCAAGTCCGGGTGATACAAGCACGTCACGAAAGTTTGAGTCTATGTCACCAACATCAGTGATAGAAAGTTTATTACCATCAGCAATTTGAATTTGCTGATTACCATTATAGGAATGTACATTTTGTAAGTATTTAGAGGAACCCGTCATGTGATTGGATGCACCAGAATCAAGAAACCATGATTGAGAATTATTAGAAGACTTACCCTGAATTCCCAAGGCTGAAAGAGCAGAAAGTACCATTTGGTGAATCATTTCAGGTTGTAGAACACTACCGGTACCCGTACTGAGAGGACCAACTTCAGAGTTGGTAGTGGCATGGAATGCTTGAGTTGGACGTTGTACTGGTCGGGGAGGACGTGTGGGACAGTCAGAGATGATATGACCCTGTTGTTTGCAATAGTTGCAAAACTTCTTACTGCAATTGCGAGCTACATGTCCAAATTGTTTGCAAGAAAAACATTGAACTTGTCGCATATCACGACCCTTTCCTCTACTTTGAGCAGCATATGCAATTGCCACAGGTTCGGAACTAACAGCATCATGAGACATGGTTCCTTGCGTAAGTAGACGTTGTTCCTCCCTTAGAAGTTCACCGACACAAGTATCCAAAGAAGGAACAGGATTCCTATTGAGCAAAGCGCCTCTAACAATCTCGAATTCTGGACGAAGTTTCATGAGAAATTGATCTCGCCGACTTGTGTCGTAGACCTCTTGAACAGCAGTGAGAGAGGTTTTGGGAACATTAGCATGTATAATAGCAGAGTGTTCTGTCCAGAGATTCAGAAAACCAGAATAGTATTCTTGAATAGGTAGGTCACCTTGTTTGTAGTTGGCTATGTCTAGCTCCAATTGAAAACGTTTTGCCGAATTGTCCTGGTTGTAAATGCGCTTCAGATAATTCCATATTTCTTGAGCAGTTGAAAAGGAGCGCAAATTATTTATCATCTGAGGATCAATACTATTGAGAATCCAAGTGATGATTTGAGCATCTTGAGTTTCCCATACATCTGAAGCAGTTTTATCCGTCGGGGCCTTAGAAACACCATCTAAGTGACTCCATAATCCCTTTCCTCTAACATACATCTTGAATTGAAATTCCCAAGCCGAATAATTCTTGCCGGTGAAACGAACACAGAAGTTATCTCTTTCTTTTTCGGAAGCCATTGAAATTATGTTGTAATTAGATGATGTATTACTATAATAATAATAATTATTATAATACTTATTATTATTATAATAACAACCTGCAACCAAAAGGAACAAAGCTCGTGCAGTACCACCAATATATCCCAAGAACAGTACCACTCGTGAAGCCGTAACAATTCCAATGTTTCAATTTGGAATTAGCGGCGGAACCAAATTATAACCACAAACCAAATTAAAACAAAATTATAACCACGAAAAACAAACCGGTCACGACCTAGAATCAATATTCGTGAAAGGAGGATCGCAAACAACCGAAGTAAGCCGAAGCCCTAAACCCAGAATCACGATGGCAATCGACGCTAAACGAATTCCACGGGGAACGATCAAGAAGCAGAAACGAAGAAACAACAAACTGAATTGATCAGGGTGTTGTCACAGAACCAAGAGAGAAAAAAATCAGAACCAGGAAATCACAGGTTTGATCTACGAGGTTGATACCATGTCAAGAATTCTTGGCTTAATACTTTTCTCATTATTATTTCTCGTATATATAGAGGTTACAGGGCTATATTGGTAATTACACTAAATAATTACATTTTAATGAGAACAAGTCAATTTCTAATTTGTTTCCTTTATTCTAGAAACAAACCCTTATTCTAGGAACAAACCCTTATTCACATACTTGTCGTTGCAAATGTGAATAACTCCCTTATTAATACAGTTTTGGGTTTCAGGTGTGACTTTGGAGGATCCTCGCATTGAAGATCTTAGCCAAGAAGTTAGAGGATTCATATTCTCTAAAATTCTGGTTTGTTCATTCTCACCTATATTTATCATACACATGAAAAGAAAACTGATGTTTGTGGCCATTGTTTTAATTTGTTTATGTTATTTGTATCAAAATTAAATTAGGATGGGGTTTTGAAGGTACCAAATTTATGTTATATATGCTTTAGTTCTCTCTTCTCTCTTTTTTAAGTAATATGCTTTAGTTTGGCAACCAAAAAAAGTACAACGAGGGACAACCCCTTGTTGTGTAGGGCTGTGTGGGATTTAGGGTTTGATGGTGTGATAAGAGCTCGCCCACGTAAAGATCATGGAGAGCTCCCATATATGTTTATGAGAGAATTTCTTGATCCCTTATATGAGTTCCCGTATATGTTTATCAGAGGCCCAAAGGAGCGGTTTCTCCCTTTTCTGATCAAGGGTGAGCGAGTAGGAAGACTGAGTCCTTCCTGCAATCGTGGGAGAAGCAGTTACTCCCCATTCCTTGACGGATTCTATGTGTGCCACGTATCCCGTTAGCTATATCAGTGGGAAAACATGGTTTAGTTAGGGTGGCTAGGCCCAAGCCCCATTGCGGCGACCAGCTTTGGGCGCCCAGAGTAAGTATTCGGTTCGGGCAGCCTATAACACGCTGTTAGGGACTCGCCTGATATTTGTGCAATTGTCTTGACTTTTGTCCTTTAAACTATTCCTTCCGGGACAAAGTAAGAAACGGAAAAAAAAAAAACTGAACCAGAACATAAGGAAAACATGACAGTTGCACGACACTAGAAATTGGTGAATTAATGGCCATGCAGCATTAGTTTGTTTTTACTGGTAAACTATAATGTCAACTATTCAGCTAGAAGTTGTGACTTGAGATTATACTCATACACGCAAATGCTTTCTTGCCATCTTTTCCACAATACGCCTTCACATTCAAGACATCACATTTCTGGTTCGTCCATCTCAATTATTATTATACTTAAATTTTTGTATATGCTTCTTGTTATGTGTGTATAATGTTAGTTTGGCTCTATATTTGATGAGTCATGTTGGAATTTCCGTCTTAATTGCGGTCCGCCCCTAGTCGCCTTAATTGCGGTCCGCCCCTAGTCACCTTAACTGCGGCATTTGGCTTGCCTTCATTGCAGGCCCCAAAATCCTTCATTCATTTGTTGTGTTTGAAGGGGGGGCAATCCTCACCTTACAAGTCGCCTTTGTATGGATGAATTAGGCCCAACCCAAATTCTAAGATGGTATCATAGCCTATTCTAGATCCATTGTTGGGCTTCCCGCATCTTCCATGCTTCAGGCTCATTGATGCCCAAGCGTGAGGGTGTGTGCTAGAATTTCTGCCTTAATTGCGGTCCGCCCCTAGTCGCCTTAATTGTGGCATTTGACTTGTCTTCATTGCAGCCCCCAACACCTTCATTGTGTTGGGTTTGAAGGGGTGAATTTAGTCCCACATTGATTAGAGATATGGTCTATGTTGTGTTTATAAGTGAGGACAATCCTCAACTTGCAAGCCGGTTTTGTAGGGATGAGTTAGGCCCATCCCAAATTCTAAGAAGTCATAATAGTTTTGAATCTTTCCATTTGATAAATGGATAGGCATTCAATTCTAAAATTCATTGTTTGTATTTACTAGATTTATGCCTAGGATATCAATTCTAAAATTTCATTGTGGAGTCTAAAGATCTTGGTGGAGTCTAAAGAAAGCAGAGGTTTAAGATTGATTACAAGAGTAGAGGATGTCCGTACCCCTATGGCAGTTATAGGGGAACAGTTAGAAAAGTGGGATAATCTCCCAAGGTGAAATTGATGATTTGACTGATGAAGTTATTAAGGAACAGTTGCAGAAGTTCTTAAATCAAAGTATAATTCAGATAGAAATGTGGCCGCTATTGAAATCCAATATGATGAGATAGAGATTTATCCACCAAGACGAGCTCGTCCAGCTCCTATAGTTATCCAGTATGGTGCAGCAGAGGCTTTTCAACAAAGACCTGTTCGTCCAGCTCCTGTAGTTATCCAGTTATCCAGTATGATGCATCAGAGGCTTTTCAATTGGATTTCATATTGGATTTCAATAGCGGCCACATTTTGATCTCGACATTCTATCTGAATTATACCTTGATCTAGGAACTTCTGCAAATGTTCCTTAACAACTTCATCAGTCAAATCATCAATTTCACCTTGGGGGATCATCCCACTTTTCTTCAACTGTTCCCTCATAACTGCAATAGGGGTACAGGCATCCTCTACTCTTGTAATCTATCTTAAACCACTGCTTTCTTCTATGGCATGAATAGAAGAGCTTTCATGTGTAGGTAAAGGATTGTTTTTAACATTGGCACCTCTAGGAGTGAAAGTGAGATCTTTAGACTCCACCAAGTCTTGCACCCTATTCTAGAATTTTAGGATCGTAAGCCAGATATAAGTCTTGTGTTAAAATGTCCCACATCAGACAATATATGGCCTAAGGCAGATATAAGTTTACCTGTCTGTTTTTACTTGTAGGATCGTAAGCCTGAGTTAGCATCTGAGATCATGGCTTTCAGGGATTATCTACTGTCATCAACTATATCAGATACACTTGATGTCTGGGAACTTAAAGGTATGGGAACCTCTTTTTCCTGCTCATATGAATTGATTGATTACTTGTTTATTTCCATTTTAATTCAATTTAAGAACTGTGCTGTAATTTTTTTTTTTTAATGACAACAGATCTAGGACATCAAACTGTACAGAGAATAGTCCGTGCTTCCGATCCTCTGCAGTCAATGCAGGATATTAATCAAAATTTCCCTAGCATAGTTTCTTATTTGTCTCGCATGAAGGTAAATTTTGTTGGATGCTCAGATATGAACCATCTTTCTCCAAAATTATTGACTAACATTCTTATGGAACTATGATGCACGACAGCTTGATGATTCTGTTCGAGATGAAATAACTGCAAACCAGCGGATGATCCCACCTGGCAAGTCTTTAATGGCAATCAACGGCGCTTTAATCACTGTCGAAGAGATTGACCTTTATATGTAATATGTTTTTTCCTTCTGCTGATATTGTTTAAAGGTTTAAATATGCTTTTAGCCTCTACAAATATTAAGAGTTTGGATTAGTCCTTCTATAAATACTTGTCTGTAAAAATATTACAACTTGAATAAATTTTGCAAAGACGAAAACAAAGCATCAGGATCAAAAGCAAAAAGTAGTATAACAAGGGACTAAAGCCAAAACTCATGATATTTTCCGGGACCATTTACATATTTAAGCCTTGTTTAAGCAATGATGATAAAATATTTTCTGTTTATATATAGCATGCTTGAACCTGTAATGTAGCTTGAGGTTGCTGTTGCACTATCATCTTTACCATATGAAACAATTGCTATTGCATCTTGATGGTTTTTGACATGAACAAAAAGCTGGAGGATTCAGATCAAGGCAGTGTTGTCAAATTTCCGACACAGCATTATGGCATGACGGCTTTTGTGCTAGTAACCATAGGCCATTTTGAAGTTATAGGTTTTAGATAAAGTAAGAAAAACTATGATTATGGTATAATAAACCTGATAGTAACTTGATACAAAAAAAGGGATGCAAGACTCCTAATCCTAAATAAACAGGGAAATCCTAGAAGACGATCTATGATAATTTAAGTAAAATTATGATTATGGTGTAATAGCTGCGCCTCGTAAGTTATGAACAATTTCAAACTTATGGTATTGTATTTTTATCGTTTTTAGGTTGATTGACTTGGTTCATCAGGATCTTCTGTTGGCTGATCAGTTCTCAAAATTGAAGGTGAATGTCATCTAATCTTCATTTGGCATATATTTACTACTGACTAATTTTCTATTAACGTGTTCATGTTTGCAACTATTAGTGGACAAATGAAAATCATCATCTGGTGCATTCAAATGTGTTGGAATCTATTTATTATACACAAACTGGAAGTATATGATATGTATCAATCATTGATAGTTGCCTAAGATACTTGGGAACAACATTTTAAATGTCAGATAAATTGCATTGCTTTGGTGTAGCTATGGACTGTTAAACTTTATTAGTGTCACATTGTTTTCTTCCCATGTTTTCTATGAAACTTGTTTTTCCATATTTTCTGTCAGAAAGATGGATATTTTGTACTTGATTGATTCTTTGGTACATATATTTATAGACTGTAATATTGATGTTCCCAGTAATTACAGATTCCTCGTAGCACTGTGCAAAAACTGCTGTCAACTTTACCTCCACCAGAGTCGGATATGTTTCGTGTTGATTTTCGTTCTACTCATGTTCATTATCTGAACAACTTGGAAGAAGATGGCAAGTACAAATGGTGGAGGAACAATCTAAATGAGGTCAATTACTTCATGATTCTCAAACAAAAATATTATTTTCAAAACATCTGTGTGTAAATTTTCATCTGAATGTAGTTCTTTTTTTTTTTTAGATCTTGATGCCAGTCTTCCCTGGGCAGCTACGTCAAATCCGTAAAAATCTTTTTCATGCTGTTTTTATTCTTGATCCAGCAACCACTTGTGGTCTTGAGGCAAGTTTATTTCCTCAAGAATAACATTTTCACACTGTAATTTGTATTTTTTCCAAGTGAAATCTCTCACTGCATAGCTTATTTTTTGAAAACCTTGCAGTCCATTGATATGATCATATCTTTGTATGAGAATAGTTTTCCTGTGAGATTTGGTGTTATACTGTTTTCTTCAAAGTACATCACACAGTTAGAGGATCATTCTACCAAAGAGGATGGAGATAAATTTGAGGATGACAAGTCTGATATGGTAATCTTCACCTTAGCAGTTTAGGAATACACATTTTTAGGAGAGTTTTCTGACCATATTGTGATACACTGCTTTTGTGATTTCACTTTTCAGATCATACGTCTCTTCAGCTATATCAAGGGGAACTATGGTATTGAAATGGCTTTCAAGTTTTTGAGCAATGTATGGAATTGTTTTCAGTATAATTTATCTTCTGTTCACGGTGTTTCTACAACCTTGTTCTGTTGCTTTTATTTGCATTAAAAACCAACAAATCATACACACACAAGATCAACATGACTTAGACCTAGAATAATACATATCGAGAAAAAACTGAGAGATCCACTTATATATTTCATATGCATATCCGGCCCGCTATCTTGAAAGTAACCGTCCAAGTTCAACTTCTGAATCTGTCAAGTTTCCCGTTTTATTGTCTCACTTATGATTCACACTTATTTTTTCCTTTGCAATGCTTATAACTGCAATATTTTTCTAGATAATCACTATAAATTCAAGGGTTTAGTTCAAATATGAACCTAGTTTGCCAGAGAATTGACTAACTCCCAAGTATTTCATGCATACCCTGTTAACAAGAAAAAGCCTCATTCTTCCTTTTCATATACACACTTCCCGATTTCGTCCCTAAATTTCCTGTTTATCTTTTTTATTATTTTTATATTTGGGATAAAAATGACATAAAATATACCACATATAAGCTGTTTGTGAATATTTGGTGACGTTGCTCCGGGTCATCTAAATCTATGGACATTATTGTAGGTTAACAAATTACGCATTGAATCAGACGATGATGCAGACGAGGCTCACCTTGAACCGCACCATGTTGAATCAGCGTTTGTGGAAACAATATTGTGAGTGCTTTAGGCTCTTTTTGGCAATTAGTTTAACATTTCTCTAGTATGGCTCTTCCCTTATTTTTCAGTAGCATTATGTGTTTTAATATGTCAATCACGTAAAGACATGGATGATAGGGAGCTGAGACCTTCTATAAGGAAGTAGGAGAAATATGAGGGAAACAGGGGACTAGTCCACTGTATAATTGTAAGTTTGTAACAGATGGAGCTGTTAACGATCTGCAACTAGTTATTTAGCTGTAGGATAGGAATCATAAAAGAGGACAGGGAGACAGTTTAGGCGTTGAATTAGATCATTGTTGTGAGACTGTAGGTCTTTCAAGCACCTTAAACTAATTTTTACAGTCACTCATCAAAGATTTTCTTCTTTCTTTTCTGATCCAGTTCTATCATTGAATTAAACATTATCACTATTTTCTGTAGACCAAAGGTAAAATCCCCTCCTCAAGAGATATTACTAAAGCTGAAGGAGCCAGAGTTGAAGGAATTGTCACAAGAAAGCTCCAAGACTGTATTTAAGCTTGGTTTATCTAAGATTCAATGTTCTTTGTTGATGAATGGACTTTTTATTGATCCCACCGAGGTAATGAGTAATGACCTTTTTGAATATTTTCCTATACCTCATCTTATTTGCAAAACTATTATTTTTAAAACCTTTCTGCAGTCTGCTCTTTTTATTTCCGTTGGTATTAGACTTCCTAGGTAACGAGTACCCGAGTTTTCAATATTTAGACTTTCCTAGGAATGTCCTCTGTTGATGAATGTGTTTTTCCCTAAATATGCTCTTTGTTTAATTGCCAATGGTTAACCATTTTCACATTAGTATATAATATACACCCTGAACTGTAGAGGATTAAATTCATTTTATTACTGTGCTTGATGTCCTGTTTAACTTTCAGTCTGCTTTATCTGCTCAACTTTAGTTTCATAAACTAAATTTTGGTATTACTTTAATTACTCGAATAATTATATTTGCAATTGATTTTAACAGGAAGCTCTACTAAATGCCTTGAATGATGAGACTCAGAGATTACAGGAACAAGTATATTTTGGACAAATAAAATCTCACACTGATGTATTGGACAAGCTCCTATCAGAAGCTGGTATTCAACGCTATAATCCTCGGGTATAATATTTTAAAATTTTATATTTTCTGGGAAACTTGTATGATGTGATGTGTGGCTAACTAGTTTCTGATTGATGTAGATTATTTCTGATAACAAACCAAGGTTCATATCTCTTGCGATGTTTACTTTGGGAGAGGCATCTATACTAGACGGAATTAACTATTTGCATTCTCCTGGAAGTAAGTTGTTGATATGTTAGAATAAACAGGTCCATTCTTACACACTGGTCTTTTGCCTTATCATTTGGACTGTTTTTATCCAACGCAGCAATGGATGATTTGAAGCCCGTGACACATCTTTTTGCCGTTGACATCACTTTAGCGAGTGGGATTAAGTTACTTCACCAAGGCTTAAATTATCTGGTAAATACTGATTTGCATTTCTTTTGAGTATTCTTCTTCCTTTCAGTCTGATGGCTGTCATGAGTTGGAGTGCTGGGTCACTTATTCAGTATTTCAATTTTTTTTATTGATCATTATTCTACAGATAGAAGGGTCCAAAGATGCTCGTGTAGGTCTTCTGTTTAGTGGCAATCATACTACAAATTTATTTAGCCTCCTTTTTGTGAAGGCTTTTGAAATTACTACATCCTCATATAGGTTTGTTTTATAATTTTTAAAGATGACTTTTAATAATAGATTGGTTGGCATTTGTCTATTTGATTCTGCAGTTTTATGCATTTCTTTTCTAAGTTTATGCACAGCTTTATATCTATTGTATGAATGCATGGTTTTATGCAGCCATAAAAAGCATACATTAAACTTTTTGGATCAGCTGTCCTCAGTCTATCAGCAGAAATACATCCTTACATCTCCTGTGGATGTTTATGGGACCCAAGCATTTATTGATGAGATCTGCAAGCTTGCTGAGTCTAACGGGTTACCATCTGAGAGCTTTAGATCTTCCCTCTCAGAATTTTCTGCTGTTGAAGTGAGAAGCCATTTGAGTGAGGTACTTCTTGCTGCTTTTCCCTTTTCTGAGCTAAATATCAGCCTTTCAGTGACATTTTTTATTGTTCAGTAACGTGAAAGTTTGCACTAATGAGACTTCTTGTTATCAGGCAGAGAAGTTTTTGTCTACAGCCCTTGGGTCTGAATCTGGTGTCAATGCTATCTTTACTAATGGAAGGGTAAATCTGTCTTTATCTCCTGCCATATTTTATGTCTCAGTTGTTTATGTGTGTATTCATATTTGATTGATTTTTCAAAGAATCTCTGCAAGTCCTCCCTGTGTTAACCTTGGCATATATGTTTTACAGGTTACTTGTCCTATTGACGAGGGCACATTTTTGAGTGCTGATCTGCATCTTCTTGAATCGATAGAGCTTAAGAAGAGGACGAAGCATATTGTGGAAATTATTGAAGAGGTGAAATGGCAAGATGTTGACCCTGACATGCTGACAAGGTTTCACTTCATCTTCACTCTGTCTCTTATGTCCTGTGGTTATTATGTGATGTCTCGGTATATCTAAGTATATGACCATGCTAGTTATTATTGCTGCATCTTATCATATTATTATATGAAATTATCAAAATCAGCATTTTGAGGACCATGAGCTGTTTTTGTTGTCTTTTGCTCAATAATAATATACCACACAATGACTTAAACACAGACATTTGTAGCGTTAAGATGGAAATGACAACTTAGTGGAACTGGAAATTTGACAACACTTTGACGGGCTTTATGTAGTTGGTTTGTGTGTTTGGCAACATCTCTAGGTAGTTATTATGCTTGAAGTTAAAGCTTGTCCATGCGAATGATTTTTTTATAAATGTTTTAAGAAATCCTTATAAAAATTCCCACAACATTTTATTTTTCCGGCCATTACATATCATTTTTGAAAAAAATATTTTAGTTGTTGGTTCTTTATCTGTCCACACAGCGTATTAATTCGAATTTTCCTCAATTTCTTCTGCAGCAAATTCATTAGTGATATTGTCATGTCTGTATCATCTTCAATGTCTATGAGAGAGCGGAGTTCTGAAAGTGCTCGTTTTGAGGTTTTGAGTGATCAACACAGGTAATATTTTAGTCACTGTGAACTCAATTCAGATAGAAAGAATGGTTTGTAGGAAAGTAAAGGCACAAATTGCAGTTGATGTTATCTTCTTTTTAAAGGTTTATTCATCCTTAGGTTATTGACTGAAGTTTTAATTATATAGTTATATGAAATATGAAGGTAATATTTTTTTTGCGGTTGTTCATTCTATGCAGTGCCATTATTCTAAACAGTGAAAATTCTAGCATTCATATTGATGCGGTTTTAGATCCTTTAAGTCCAACCAGCCAGAAGTTGTCTGGAATTCTTCGAGTTTTGTGGAAATACATTCAGCCCAGCATGAGAATTGTACTGAATCCAATGGTTGGTTGATATCTATGGTTCTATTTAAATTTTATTTCCTAAATATTTTGGTTTTCCATTACCTAAGTTATACCTTCTTTAAGAGTCTTCTGAAGTCCTTGGGATCAAAAAAGGAAATATGATAAGAAAATTGTAGTTATTGTGTATGATACCTGCAATATGAAAAGACAGTTTTGTCTTTGTGGCCTAACAATGAGCTCCACTCTAGTTTGGCTTTTGTAGTGCCTTTGGCCTTATGAGATTTTTTTACCCTAAATGGAATTTTCTACTACAAAAGCTATATTTTGATTTAATTTATCTCCAATATAATTCACTAATACTCAATGATATTTTTCATTTTATGCCAGAGTTCCCTTGTTGATCTTCCTCTGAAGAACTATTACAGATATGTAGTGCCGACAATGGTATATCTTACATTTTTGGTTTGTTCATAATTCTTCATGATATTTAATCTCTGGGTTCTTAGGTTTTTATTGCCTTTGCAGGATGATTTTAGCAACACTGATTCTTCGATAAATGGCCCAAAAGCATTTTTTGCCAACATGCCATTATCTAAGACTCTCACCATGAATCTTGATGTTCCAGAGCCCTGGCTTATTGAGCCTGTTCTCACTGTGTATGTATTATGTATATGTATTAGTATTATCCTTAACATTTGTTGCATATTAAGCCATTTATGAGCCTCCACGTATGAAACCATAAGCCACAGCCTTTAGTAGAGCTGGTTCTTGGCATGCTATCTCTAAAGATCAAGCTATTGGGCGGGGGCTCATGAATAGCTGCATATTTAACAAGATTGTCTATTCCTATTGATTCACTTTTATTTGATGTTATTATATCTTGTTAGTCCTTAATGTGATTTCTCATTCTGCAGTCATGACCTGGATAACATTCTGCTTGAGAACCTTGGCGACACAAGAACGCTGCAAGCAGCTTTTGAACTTGAAGCTCTTGTCCTCACAGGTAAAATTGCATTATTTTTATTTAAAGATATAGGCTGGTATTTCTTTCCGATATTATCATTTGTAATTAAATAGCATTAAGTAATGTTCCTATGAATCCGTTGGCTTTCTTATCTATTGTTCGTTGAATCAGGTCATTGCTCTGAGAAAGATCACGATCCTCCACGAGGTCTTCAGCTGATTCTTGGAACCAAAACTTCACCCCATTTAGTTGATACCCTTGTGATGGCCAATCTTGGTTATTGGCAAATGAAAGTTGCTCCTGGTGTTTGGTTCTTGCAGCTTGCTCCTGGTAGAAGTTCTGAGCTGTATATTTTTAAGGAAGATGATGATGGAAGTAGGAATAGGCAATCATCAAAACTCATCACTATTAATAGTTTACGGGGTAAAGTAGTTCATATGGAAGTAGTGAAAAGAAAGGGCAAGGAAGATGAGAAATTGTTGATTCCTGATAATGATGACGATCTGCAAGATAAGAAAGTGAGTGGTTGTTTTTTAAATTTATTTTGAAAATTCGGTGGCAGAGCAAAAGAGAGACATTATATTCAAATGCAAATCCTGACTCTGGTTTTTATAGGGAAGTAGGTGGAATTCTAACATACTAAAATGGGCTTCTGGTTTCATCAGTAGCAATGAACAATCGAAAAATGCTGAAAGCAATTCACTTGTGAGTTATACTTTATATATTTAATTTTTAAAAGTTTCTCCGTTCTGTTCCTTTTACATGAATTCATTTTCTTTTACTAGATTTAGTTGAAGATCTTGTTTAGGGACTTGTGAGTAAAAACTTAATCGAACTTAGTGTAATTGTCTTTGTTTTGATCTGACTGATGCTTCAATACTTTGAATTATGTGATGTTTTGCTTGAGAATTGAGATGCTATAATTCTTGTTCATGAATGAAAAGACCATTTATATAACGTTGTTGTCATGTCCAACCAATTATGTATTATCAAAATATATGATGAATTTCAATTTAGATTCTTGCATTCTTCTCCTTTTTTCTCTTTCAACATAACAACCCACTCCTAATTTCCTTGAGTTGTAACCGAGTGAACCTATTTTTCACAATAGGAGACTGCAAAAGGGGGAAGGCATGGAAAAACAATTAATATCTTTTCAATTGCATCTGGGCACTTGTAAGTTGTTCTCTTGTTTGTTTTTTTCTTTCCTATATTGGCTTTCAGTTTCAATTTTTTAAACTTTTTTTTTAAATTTCAATCCTTTGAATTTCAAAAGTTGAAAAATGTTTGACTTGATCCCAAATCTGTTAAGATATTTTTATAGAACTGTCACATGTGTGTCTTGTTAATTGTTAGGTATTTAATTTCTATCATCATAAATGCAAATCTTCACTTGTTTTGTTTGATGTATCTTTACCAGATATGAGCGCTTTTTGAAGATTATGATTCTAAGTGTTCTAAAGAATACCCAGCGCCCAGTGAAATTCTGGTTCATAAAGAACTATCTCTCTCCTCCTTTTAAGGTTAAATATTTCTTCTTCTTTTAAATTGGAAATTCAAAGTAGAATTTTAGGACTTTTATTGACATACTTGAATTATTTTGGTTGTCATCTACACACAGGATCTAATTCCCCACATGTCTAAAGAGTACGGTTTTGAATATGAACTAATCACATACAAATGGCCTACTTGGTTGCATAAGCAGAAAGAAAAGCAGCGAATAATTTGGGCATATAAAATTTTATTCCTGGATGTCATCTTTCCCCTTTCCTTGGAGAAGGTATCATGGTTTTCTTCTTCTTTATCAAGCTTAATACTTCATTTGTGTTGTCTTCTCCACTCTCAATTTCAGTGTCACATTCACCACATGTTACATTGACAAGGAATGAAAAAGAAAAGCATATTTAAAATTGTATGTTTAAATCTACCGATATTTGCAGGTCATTTTTGTGGATGCTGATCAGATTGTCAGGACCGACATGGGAGAACTCTACGACATGGACTTAAAAGGAAGACCTTTGGCTTATACTCCATTTTGTGATAACAATAGGGAGATGGATGGATATCGGTTTTGGAGACAAGTAAATGCCACTGTTGAATATCATTTGTTGTATATTTTGTTGTGCACGAGCTCTCGGTTGTCATCACACGTATATTAATTAAATGTACGTGCAGCATTGAATGCTAATTTTTTATTGCCTTGTTGTTTTGGTTAGGGTTTCTGGAAGGATCATTTGCGGGGGAGACCGTATCATATTAGGTTGGCAACTACTTTCTTCTTACTCTTGGCAAAAGAGTTGGAGTATATAAATATCATTTCTCTGATAGTTGTTTTCCGTTTCCGTCTACTTTCAGTGCTTTGTATGTTGTTGATTTGAAGAAGTTCCGAGAGACTGCTGCTGGAGATAATCTCCGAGTTTTCTATGAAACCCTTAGCAAAGATCCAAATAGTCTAGCCAACTTGGATCAGGTGAGAAATAGTTTTTTTTGTTTGTTATTTATTTTACTTTCAAAGAATCACTATATTTATCGTTTCATAAATCCACAATAGAAGGTTTATACTTATATTAAATGTATAATAGAAAGGGTTTAATTTTACACACGCACAGAGGCAAGAGTTTCATAAAATGATTTTTGTGAACAAATTTTAGGTCTTTTCTGACCATGTGATTAAGATATAGGATTTGGATACCCATTATTTTCTTATGGAATCTTTTTCGTATATTTATTTCCAATGTTGCACCCATTATCAATGGCGAATTCTCTTTTTGAGGGACCTTGGCTGAAATTTGCACTCAATTGGTTCAGGATCTTCCTAATTATGCTCAGCATACCGTGCCCATTTTTTCTTTGCCACAAGAATGGCTATGGTGCGAGTCATGGTGTGGTAATGCTACAAAATCCAAGGCAAAAACAATTGATCTGTGCAACAATCCAATGACAAAAGAGCCCAAACTTCAGGTGAACAAATCTGTTTGAATTTTCTTCTGTTCTTTCTTGGAAACTTGCATCATATAAGTTTTGATGTTTTTGTAGCCTCACTTGTTTTCTGCACTTAATTCATTAACTTATCTCCACTTTGGTCAACAGGGTGCTAGACGAATTGTATCTGAGTGGCCAGACCTTGATTTAGAGGCAAGAACATTCACTGCACGAATCTTGGGTGATGATCAAGAACCTATTCAATCCCCTAACGAATCTAATGAATCCAAGGATTCGACTAATGAAGATGCATTGAAAGAAGACTTGGAATCCAAGGCAGAATTATGATTTGTGAACATTGGTGACAAAAGTGTTCTGTGCAAGTCAAAGTTCTTGAAAAATATGAGATTTGATGAAGTTGGCACCGTAACACAGCAATGGTATCTTAATTTCTTACCGAGGAGTGCTTGGTTGATATATTAGAATGCCACAAAACACTAGTAACAGTGAATGCAATGAAGATTTGCCTTCTCTGTGAAGAATTTTTGGTTATAGAGAAGTGTTAGTATATTCAAATCTAATTATTGTAGACAGATGTATGTGCTATAATCTTATGTACAATCATGTTCTCATCCAACTCTGTTCTTTTCAAGAATAAGTCTTTAGAATATGGGAAGAATGCTAGAGTAAGCATTGCCGAATTTACCATGTAATAGTGTAACTTAATTTTGCATTAGTTCTCTTATTCAATGACTGCATGATACTTACTACGTTCATTTGGATATTCGGATAAGGCAATAAGATTGGATTAAATGAGATATGAAATGGTTTAATGACATTGAAGATCAAATTATTACATTTAATTTATAAATACATGTTTAATGCACTTTTTATATTGAAATTATTTAAATATCCCTTGTTTTTGAAGATACATCTACCCTAGGATGCATCAAATTCTTATTTAGATAATAAAAATGATTGAAAAAATATTCATTTATTTATTTAAATAGACACTTAAAAAGTTTAGGTCGGGCAGGTTCAACCCAATATCACATTGGGGAGGTCCAGCAAGACTCAATTCTCCTCTCTGTTGGACACGATTTGCTGTCACTGTCTGGTATGGGGAGATCTCACGCGTCTTCCTCACGTTCTTCACGTGCCCCCGCGAGGACACGTCATCAGCAACTACCCACATTCGAAAGAATAAGTTATTCATTTTTCAAAGATTATGGGGTAGTTGACTACGTGCGAAGACCACGTGCTGGTCTTTCCTACGCCATGCCCTGACAGTTACTTGTGTTAGGCCTTACAATCCAACCTAATGCAAAGTAACTGTTGGCCCAACGATAGGGGCACATTATAAATACACTCTTTCACTAGAGGGTCAGATATTCTGAATTCTACACCTTCTTTCTGTACTTGCTCTCTCTAACTCCGTTAATCACTTTAGCATCGGAGTACCTTGCAGGTATACCCCCTCTTCATCTTTAACACCGGTGAACACAGGAGCTCACGACGCGTGGCAGGCTGCTGATCCTTTCTGATCTGGTAAGATCAGTGGTGTCGTCTATGGAAAACTTTTGTTCCCCCCGTTCTTTCTCCTATAGAAGCATAGAAACTCAAGAACTAAAGCAGTATTCAACCTCCATTTGATCATGGCCCCCGTATACAACTACCTCAGCACGGTGCGACTGCCCGACAATGCAAAGAAGGCCAGCGTGGTCAGACGTCGAGCCTGCTCATATGTCTTGATCAAGGACAAATTATATCGAAGGGGGTTCTCCATTCCATTCCTCAAGTGTGTAATAGAATTCAAGGTATCAGGCATACTCCAAGAGATCCACGAAAGAATCAACAACCAACACCTCAGCGGGCGATCACTCGCCTGTAAGGCTCTACAAGTAGGATATTATTGGCTCACCATGCAACAAGACACCAAGAGCACGTTAAAACGTGTGACAAATACCAATGACACAAAGACATACACCTGACCCCGCCTAACGAGCTCAAAACGCTCTCATCCCCAAGGTCGTTTGCCTGGTGGGGTGGACATCCTCAAGCCCTTTACCATAGGGTCATACCAAAACAAGTATTTGATAGTCGACTACTTCACTAAGTGGATAGAGGCCGAAGTCTTATCCAAAATCACAACCCAAAATGTACTTCGTTTCTACAAAAGGAATATACTTGCCCGGTTTGGAGTACCTCAAGCAATCGTCACCGACAACGGGACTCAATTCATCGACAAGAACTTCCAGAACTTTGTTACCAAACTAGGCACGAAACAACACTTCACATCAGTCGAGCACCCGCAGACGAATGGGCAGGCCGAAGCCACGAACAGAGTGGTTCTGCATGGCCTGAAACGAATATTGGGAGATGCCAAGATGAGGTGGGTCAAAGAGCTACACATCGTGCTCTAGGCCTACAAGACGATCCCGCACTCGATGACAGGGGAGACCATGTTCCGACTAACCTACGGGACCGAAGCGGTGATTCTGGTAAAAATAAAGGAGCCCTCCGGAAGAACCGAATCTCTCGTCGACGAGGAAGCGAACGAAGAGGCCCTAAGGGAGGAACTCGACCTGGTCGAGGAAATGCGGTCGGGGGAATCCCTCCGTGAAGCCTCGCTGAAACAAAAAATAACTCTATGACATGACAACAAAGTCATCAAACGCGAGTTCCAAGTGGGCAGTCTGGTCCTTTGAAGGAATCAGGAGGACTCACGCAAGGGCAAACTCGCCGCAAACTGGGAAGGTCCCTACCGGGTCCGAGACAAAATGAGCAACGGGGTCTATTACCTCAAAAACCTACACAGGGAAGAGCTTGCTCGATCATGGAACACTGAAAAGCTCAAAAAATACTACAGTTAAACATTGTCTGTGACCTACTAGCATCGTGACCACAGGAGCGCAACAGGGTACAAACGCGTCTGTTAGATTTGAAACAAAAGGACAAGAGTTTGCCCTTTGTGTTTGCAAGCAGACTTTTGATCCGACGGGGACCCCTCAATCGAGCTCCACCGTTGTCATACCAGTAAGACAGAATGCCTAGCTCGCGATGGAAAGTTCACGCCGCAGAGCAAAGACCTCGACCGAGACCTTAGCTTCGTTTTTGATAAGGTACTAACCCCGATCACCTGGTCAGTTCCCTGCACGGTCAGACACAATAATATGTCGAGCAATACCCCGATAACAAGCAGACAAAAATAATATTTCATACACATACATGACAACAAGAAAAGTAAGGCACATACACAAATCATAAAAGTGAAATACTACATTTTCAAAATGCGGGCAGAGCCCATTGTTAAAAAATTACAAGTTAAAGCCCTTGGCACGTAGGTCGGGCAAAATCAACTACTGAATACGGCATGCAGACACGATAAAACAATTCAAATAGCACACAGGCCAAACAGCTAAAAAAGGAAAACGAATCAAGCAGCGACTTCTTCCTCAGGAAGGGGTCTCCCATCACTCTGACCAGTTCCATCGTCGGGCGCCTAAGGGACAACAACCCTACCATCAACCACCTAGTGGAAAGGGCCAATCCCCTCGAAGACAAGCTGAGCCCCAGAATTCATGATCTGGACTTGCTCCAAAGCGTTGGTGAACCCCACCTCAAAAGCTCTCAAACAATTCTGCTTGAGCTCGCGGTCTGATCGACCAAGGCACTACGGGCCACAAGAGCTTTTTCCTCCTCCATTTCATCCTCAGTAGGCTTAGCGTTGACCTCCATCTAAGCCACCTTAGTCAGCAGTAGACCCCGTTCCTCCTTGGTTTCCTTCAGCTCTTCCCGCATCTCGTTCATCTCATGAAGGAGGCGCACCTGGGCTTCGTACCTCGTCTGAGCCTCTTGCAGATCACTTTCCACCTTGTTTTTCTCCGCCTCAAGAACGTCGTTCTCGTCTCGCAACTTTTTCAGCTCATAGGTCGGGCTGATTTCATCATTGAAAACCAATTTCTTCTCAAAGATCTTCATCATGGCGGCCATATCCTCGGTCAACACTTTCCTTCGAGTCGCCCGGTCGATCGCCTTGGTTTCAGCCTCAGCCACAGTCGGGGAATGGTCCCCAGAGAAGAAGTCTCGATGGATGTGGCAATGGGGTAGTACAAACTTCTCTATAGATGTGCTCTCCTCGAGGTCGACGAGCACAGGTTCCTCAGTGTGCCGCCTTTTAGATGAAGTCTTCTACATAGGAGGAGACTGGTTGCATTGAGGGGAGGAGGAACCACTAGCTCCTTGGTCGGGCCTCACAATCTGCTGGACTTGAGAGACTCTACCTTTGGCCTTCTTCTTACCCTTGGTCGCCGCGAGCTTCATTATGCGTTCTTGCGCGTTCGACATCTGGCCTGCAATAATGAACAAAGAAAATCAAGTCAGCCCAAAAGGGAAAAAGGCAGGCGCCCAGTAAAGAAAAGATTCATTACCTAAAAACCTCAAGGCCTCCTCACGAGACCCGCACTTGAGGAGAGCCTTAGTGTTAATCATTCGAGCCTCGCGATAAACCTTCATGTGCTCGTCTAGGATGAAACTCCCATCCTTGTGGACACATTTGGCATGAGTGAAGCCGAAGACAAAGTCAACTATCTTTTGGTAAGATAGTCGGTCGTCGGCATCCAGGTCTTCGTGCTTCACAATATAAAACCTCTTCTTGATGGTGCGGACAGAATCCTGATACGCCCGAAATATCTTCCTTGGCTGCTTCAAGGATACCCAACTATGTCGGTCTTAGAATGATTGGCGTTGTAGGTGGAAAATGCGGAAGAACAGGGGAAGTGTGGTATCAATACCAAAATGCTCGCAAACAAGTTCAAACACTCGCACTAACGCTATCGCATTAGGGTGAAGTTGTGAACGTGTAAGGCGGAGCCACCAGAACACTTCCCCCTGAAAATCACTGAAGGGGAGACGGATTCCCGCTTCCCGAAACGCAAACTCATACATCGGGAACCTCATCTCCCTAAACCTCGAGCAGCTACAGTGTTTATCCTTGAGTTTATAACCATCCAACTCAGAAAGGAACCATCGAAACGGTCCTTGACAATGGCAAAAACGTCTATGTCGTTGGAGGCGAAACGCGATGCGATGTTAAGAGGTTCTTGTCTGGCCTAATCCTCGGGTGTACGAACTCATTTGGCTCCAACAAACTCGACGGGAGTGTCGGGCTCAGATTCGTCGTCAATATGGATGACGCCCTCAATCCTTACCGTCATTTTACTTGAAAAGTAGAGGAAAACTGTGAATTCAACTTCCAAGATCAAATCCACCCTTCCACCGCAAATCAAGTGAAAGGGAGAAGGGAGAGACGGGGAGCCCCTGGACAGGTCCTCCCCGACGCAGAGTAG